AAAAAAAAAAAAAAAAATCAGTTGTGTGCAAAAGTGTTTCATAGTTTTTCATTCTCAAGACAAATAACCCAGCTCTCCACCCACAGCTTATTCTTCCTCAATGATACTTGTGGTAATCCACCCATTTTCCCCTTACAGGAAGTTAACAGCTCAGAATGGCCCTCCTACAGAATTCATCATCACTAACGGATTGTTTAGAACAGAGATCTAGAGAAACTAACAAGCAAGGTTCCCTATGATGGCAGTAGACTTCCACCAGACACCACAACAAAGCACTATTAATTGCTGAAAGCTAAAAAGTAGATATTATTTTTCATCTTAGTTATTTTTTAAAACTGAAAATTAACCAGAATGGAATATCGGATAATTTTGCATCATCTACCAGTATAAATTTTTAATTAAGGTTTTTTTATGCCCATACCTCTGTAGCATCTTTGAAGCCATGTTCACTGCTTCTGTACAGGTAAACTGTACAGCTAGGTCTCTTATTCCAATATTTGAATTCAGGCCCAGTAAACACTCAAAAGATTTAAAACAGCTCTGATACATCTTCTTGTTCAAACCAGAAAGTTTAATTAAATAAGCCTTTAAAAGGAAAACACACAAATCACAAAAAATCATTAAGTTCTATATATTAGTGCCCTTTAATAAGTGGTTACAACTTTCCAGAATTAATTAATTCTGTGGCATGTCACTCAAGGTTAAGTTTTATTTACTAAAAAATCTGTAATCGTGTCGGGCAGAGGAAGTATGGCTTTCAAGGAGTTCATATTATCATACTATAGGGAAGGTAATCATGCATATATGTTCAGATAACTTAAAATTACTACAGGCCAGGTACAGTGGCTCAAACCAGTAATCCCACCACTTTGAGAGGCTGAGGTTGGAGGACTGCTTGAGCCCAGGAGTTCGAGACCAGCATAGGCAACATAGTAAGACCTCATCTCTACAGAAAAATAAAAAAAATCAGCCGAGCATGGTGGTGTGTGCCTATGCCTATAGTACCAGCTACTTGAGAGGCTGAGGTAGAAGGATTGCCTGAGCACAGGAGACTGAGGTTGTGATGGGCCCTGATTGAGTCACTGTACTCCAACCTGAGTGACAGAGTGAGACCCCAATATGAAAAAAAATATTAATACAACCATTTTGTGACTAAAAAACCATGGGATAATATATATATATATTTACTTGTATCTTAACAAAGATATATATCTTACATATATATATATATTTACTTGTATCTTAACAAAGGTGCTAATGTGCAATATATTGGAAAAGAAGTAGTGAGAATGGGGTGGGGCAGGTGTGTGAAGGAAAGAAAAGGAAGGAGAGGGAAGCCAGGGAGAGAAATGGGAAGATCAACAATGTGGGAAACCAGCTCTCTCTGGGAAAGTCAAGGATAACTTCATAGAGGATGTTGCCAGGCACTGTGGCTCATGCTTGTAATCCCAGCACTTTGGGAGGTGGAGGCAAAAGGATTGCCTGAGCCCAGGGGTTTGAGACCAGGCTGGGCAACTTGGCGAGATATCATCTCCACAGTAAATCAAATTAGTTGGGTATGCTGGTGTGTGCCTGTAGTTCTGGCTACTTGGAAGGCTGAGCCAGAAGGATTGCTTGAATCCAGGAGGTTGAAGCTGCAGTAGATGTGATTCTGCCACTGCACTACAGCCCAGGAGACAGAGTGAGATTATGACACCCCCCTGCCCCGGCCCAAAAAAGTCTGATGCCAGGTGCGGTGCCCACACCACCTGTAATCCCAGTATTTTGGGAGGCTGAGGCAAGAGGATTGCCTGAGCCCAGGGGCCTGGGCAACAATGAGATTATGACTCAAATTTTAAAAATGTCTGTAATGGCAAGGCAGGGTCATGTAAGACAAATAGGAGCTTGCTGAAAGAGCAATGCAGGAAAAATAATAGTAATGCATTTACAAAGTCATTAAAGTACACAGTTTAAGTGAACACTGTTGCTTGAGGTCAGGATTCAAGAGAGGCTGCAGTTTTTGATGGTAATGAGAAGCCAATACAGCTTTTTTTTTTTTTTGAGTTGGAGTCTCACTCTGTCGCCCAGGCTGGAGCGCAGTGGCACGCTCATGGTCACTGCAGCCTCAACCTGCTGAGCTTAGGCGATCCTTCCACCTCAGCTTTCCAAGTAGCTGGAACTACAGGCACGTGCTACCACACCCAGCTAATTTTTTAGATTTATTATAGAGATGAGGTCTCACCAAGTTCCCCAGGCTGGTCTCGAACTCCTAGGCTCACGCAATTCCCTCACCTCAGCCTCCCAAAGTTTTTTTTGTTTTATTTTTTTAGTTGGAGTCTCATTCTTCTACTTAGGCTGGAAGGCAGTGGCATAATCAGGGCTCACTGCAGCCTCGACCTCCTGGACTCAGGCGATCCTTCTACTTCAGCCTTCTAAGTAGTTGGGGACTACAAGTGCATGCCACAATGTCCAGTTAATTTTTTTGATAGAGATGAGGTCTTGCTATCTTGCCTATGCTGGTGTCAAAACACCTAGGCTCAAGCAATCCTCCTGCCTTGGCCTCCCAAAGTGCTGGGGAGTAGAGGCATATGAGTAAAGATGATGTCTTGCTGTGTTGCCTAGGCTGGTCTTGAACTCCTGGGCTCAAGCAATCCTCCTGTCTCAGCCTCCAAGTGCTGGGATTACAGGTGTGAGCCTTAGTGCCTAGCCTTAAGTAACAGTAATAAAAACAAAGCTGGAGCTGGGCATGGTGGCTCATGTCTGTAATCCCAGCACTTTGGAAGAACGGGGCGAGCAGATTGCCTGAGCCCAGGGATTCGAGACCAGTCTGGGAAACTTGGAGAGACCTCATCTCTACAATAAATCAAAAAATTAGCTGGGTGTCATGGTGCGTGCCTGTAGTCCAGCTACTCGGAAGGCTGAGGCAGAAGGATCAACTGAGCCCAGCAGGTCGAGGCTGCGGTGGCCATGAGTGTGCCACTGCATTCCAGCCTGGGAGACAGAGTAAGACACCAACTCAAAAAAAAAAAAAAAAAAAAACCCTACCATTTAATAACTGTATCATCACACAGGTACTGTCTCATAATAATATCCTCATAATAATACAGTGAATATTTTTATCCTCACTTTATGGATAAGGAAACTGGAGGCTCACAGAGATAGTAAATTGTGTTGAGATCTGGCTTCAACCTGTGACTCTTCCTTACTCCAAACCTTGTTCTCTCAACACTGTGATACTGGAACACTGTGATATGGACTTTAAAGTATGGAGGCTGCGTGCTGTCACTCATACCTATAATCCCAGCACTTTGGGAGGCTGAGGTGGGAGTATTGGCTTGAGCCCAGGAGTTTGAGACCAGCATAGCGAGACCTTGTCTCTACAAAAATAAAAAAATTAGCCAGGTGTGATAGCATGCACCTGTAGTTCCAGTTATCTGGGAGGCTGAGGTGGAGGGATCACCTGAGCCCAGGAGATTGAGGCTGTGGTGAGCCCTGATTGTGCCCTCCAGCCTGGGCAACAGAGTGAGACCCTGATTCGAGAAAAAAAAAGTGTGCTTTAGGAGGACATGCCTAGGAGCAGTGTGGAGGATGGCCTCTAGTGAAAAAAGAGGTAGCCAGGGAAACCCAATAGAAAAGAGTAAAGAAAACATTTTTCAACTTGACAAAATGATTATGAAGTCTATTCAGAATAACACCTAACAATAGCCAGACTTCTAAAACAAGAGTTTTAGTTGGGGCCTAGTCTAACCAAAAATTAAAACACGAGAGCTAAACTTCAGTGGTGTACCAGGTTACGCAGACATTCAGTGGAATCCACTTACCCTGTCCAAGGGGCACTTCATGCAGGAAGCTGCAAGGTCCAGGCACATGAGGGCATTGCTAGTTTCTGTGGTGTGCCCAGAAAGGCCAACACACTTCACCTGGGACAGTCGCAAGTACTCCTCCGCTTTCCTAGGTAAGAGGCAATATGTTCACAAAGTTTTCATTCAGAAGCTTGCCCACCACCTTGGTAAACAATGAACACAGCCCGGGGGTCGTCATGCAGAGCCTAATCATGTGCAAGTTCATTTGGGGCTGGGAATGAAGATCACATCTTTTGGGGGTGGGGGTGGAGGGAAAGCTTTAAAAGACCCAGCACCCAGGCTCCAGCATCACCGTGCTCAAGCGCTTTCAGGCAAAAGTAAGTTACATTCTAACAAAAAAACCCCACAAACTTTCTTTCCTACTTCCTTCCATTGGCAGAACAAGCAAGAACTCTCATAGAAACAGGCAGGTTGGAGCAGGATTTACACTCCTTCAAATTAGCGTTTCTCAAACTCGAGTGTGCACCTTGGGAGCCCGTGGAAACAGAGTGCCAGGCCCCATGTCCAATTTCTCATCTGTAGGCCTGACATGGCCCAGGAATCTGCATTTCTAACGAGTGACAAGACGGCACTGCTGCTGCTGGTCCAGGAACCACACTTTCAAGAGCCAGTGTCCTGAGGGCTGACCGAGTCCTGGGGCAATCAGGGACTGCTGAGGTTCGGAACCTGGCCCGCTCTCCACGCTTTCCAGTTCGAGCCCAGATCACTTGTCTCCCCGCGGCTGGCACCTTCTATCAGCCCGGTCTCACCTGGAGCAAACGGCGCCTCCTGAGGTCTTCCGGAGATTTGTGCCGCACCCCAGCCGGACCCCAGACGCTCCCTCATCACCCTATTGCCATTACCGCAGGATCTGTCCCGCGACCGTGTGGCACCCGCTGTGACAGGTCCTCAAAGAGTGTGCGGTTGACCAGAGCTTCTCCCTGACTCTTTTTTCCACCATCACGCATCCCACAAGCTAGCGTTCCCAGCGACGTCTACACTTGCCTTCCTCGCCAGGATACACAAGCCCACGGCCGGGAAATTGTTTTGAAGGCCTGCATTACGCCGGCCCCGCGCTTTCCAGGACCCTTGATGGAGGATCAGGGCCGCAAGGCAGAAGCCGCGCTCAGGCCGCGCGCGGCAGGACTCACCTCAGCACGTCGGGATCAGCGAGGCCCAGGCGCGGGGCTAGGCGGCCTAGCAGCCCCGACCCCATAGCGCGGAAACAAACGATGCCACCGGACGGCTGGGCGCCACGAAATCCGCGCGCAGACGCCGCGCCGGCCTGTGAGAGCCAGGCCCCACCCCCGGCGCACCCGGATTGGCTGGGACGAGAAATTGAGACCGTCCCCAAACCAATCACGGTTTTCTGCGCATGCGCGTCGCGAGGGCTCGCGCCTAGGACAGGGTGATAGGCGGTTCACCCTCCTTCTATCCCTTTCTTCTTGACAAATGTGTCACGCGCCACCTTCCCCTCCTGCTGTCCCCTGCCTGCCGCCGAGCGATCCCCACTGCCCTGCACCGCTCCTCCCACCCCGCATACAGTGGAGAGGTTGGCTGGTGCCCAGGTCCGCCCGATTGACGTCATTGTCAAGGGCCAATAAACACGTGAGCTTGGTTTTCTAGACGCAGCCCAATCAAGGAGTCGCCTGTAGGGTCCGAAGGCGGGGCTAAAGAGGGCGGGGTTTGGAGGGGCCGCAGCGTCACCTGACCGCGGGAGGCTCCGCGAGGTGGGTGCTGCTTACCGCGGGCCCTAGGAAGTCGCCATGGTGAGTGCTTAGGGGACAGCGGGCCCCGAACCGACCCTTCTTGCAGCCTCTGCTCCTCCCACCGGTCTGGAGTCCTGCGGGCGGGATAGGAGCCCCACAGACCGATCGGACCCAAGGCCAGCCCGGTTTGGCCTGCGGAACAGGGCACAGGCCGAGGAAGGCCGCAGGCGGGCTCTCCAGGCCCGGGTGGGCGGCGGCTCCCAGCTCTGCTGCTTCTCGAAGACTGGGAGGCCTCTTTGTAGGGATGACTCGGCCTGAAGACTCTGGGGGCCGTAAAGGCCTGCAGCCGCCTCCCAGTGGAGTCGGCAACCTCCATGCCGTCAGGGAAGTCCGAGTCCTCGGTGTGGGCGTTCAGCACCCAAAGCGTGCGGAGGGCCTGAGACTCAGAGGTGGGGCCGGGACCCGCCCAGATGTCGCTTTTCTACCTTTGTGCCTTGTGCTCGGCCAGCCCCACGCCCTGCTGGAGAGTCGCAGTGGTTTCCTTGGCTTTTCTGGGTCTCGTACCCGCCTTCGGCTGTAGTTTTTGCCAGCGAATTGTAGGGACCTGCTTATGTGAATTTCCTGGAAGGACTCCTGCTGTCTTCTGCTAATCCTAATGGTCGAAAAGGAGACTGATTGTTTCCTTTAGCATTTGCTCGCTGAGCGCCGTCGCTCTTTTGTCTTTCCATTGAAGAAGTCCAAGTGCTTTACTTGCTGGAAGTAGTCGTTCTCCTTAGGGCCTCTCAGCGATGGCAGCAAATCGTGGTGTGGCTGTTGACTGGTGAACTTGAACTTCCTCAAAATGTGAATTCTTGTGTCTAGTTCCCACAAGGCAAGTTGACACTTGCATTTTATTAGCGTTCGACATAGTATTTTTTGACAGTTTACTACGTGTCAGTTTTAATTCACGCACGTAAGACAGGCTTCTGTAAGCCTGGAAGCATTTCATTTTAACTGTGTTAATGCCAGAAATGATTAAATGTTTGACATATACTACTTTCATATAATATATAGCCAAGCAAGGTGAGTTTGTTACTCAGAATTTTTATAATTGGAAATGATACAAGACTGGTGTAAAAATTTAACTTCATGTTGTCTGTTCTCAACATTTATGGATTGACATTTATATTGTTTTGTAATGGAAAGCACTTAATTGAAGTTCTACTACACACCCCAGTTCTTTGCTAGGTGAACCAGTTTGGAACAGTAAACCAGACACACAGGACTGTCTTCATGAATTTTATAAGGAAAGGAAATTTTGGTTCAGTCCTTTTACAACCACTCTCCTTATGATTTGGGCAAGTCACTTAGTCTTTGAGTCTCACTTTTGCAACTGAAAGCAAGTGTTGGCCCCTTTGACCCTTCCCAGTTCTAAAATTCTAGAATCCAGTTCAGTTCATCAAACATCAGCATGCTAGGCACTGAATGCAAATGTCTAATTTAAGAGTCTGGTGGGGGAGACATGCTTGTAGAACTTAATGTAAAACAGTGTGAGGCTTGCTTTACTAGCACTGTCAGCTCAGTGGTTTGGGTCATGGACAGAGAGATAGTTTAGCCTGGGGAGCTTGGGAAGTTCTGCAGGAAGTAACATATGAATTGAGACCTTGAGGAGGGTATTGCCACTAGATGAGGCCAGGAGAAGTAAGTGTTCATGTGTACTCCACCAGAGGATTTCTAGGGAGATGTGTTGGTAAATTAAGCTAGAGCTAGTTTGGTATTCAAGGTATGTTTTGATCCCCTCATCATCCTTAATTCTCTCTATTTCAGTTGTTAATTTGTGCCACGACATCATTTCTTAAAATTGTTCTTTCATTAACATGATACAATTCTGTATCTTTGTGTGATTAGTTTTCATTTTATAATTGATTTTCATTGTATTGCTGAATTACATCTGCAGCATATGACCAGGGAGATTCACCCACAAATAGGTTTCTAGGATAGGTGGAGATAACTGCTTGTATCTACACTAGACATAATAATTGTAACACTGCTTATTATAAGTGGTAGGCATGTTTTGAGGTTTATTTGGGTCATTTCGTTTATTTCTCATAACAATGGTTATATTATTCATAAAACAATGTAATTATGCTACCAACAGCTATTCTAAGGACTTTTCTTCTTATTTATTTATTTATTTTTGAGTTGGAGTCTCACTCTGTCGCCCAGACTGGAATGCAGTGGCCGCTCCCGGCCACCGCAGCCTCAACCTGCTGGGCTCCGGCGATCCTTCCGCCTCAGTCTTCCAAGTAACTGGAACTACAGGCGCGCGCTACCACGCCTGGCTAATTTTTTTATTTATTGTAGAGATGAGGTCTCACCAAGTTGCCCAGATGGGTCTCGAACCCGCAGGCTCAGGCAATTCACTCACCTCAGCCTCCCAAGGCTCGGAATTACAGGCTGAGCCACTGAGCCCGGCTACTAGTACTGTTATCTCTTTTTTGTAGAAGAGGAAACAAAAGCGTATTGTTTGAATGGAGAGTTTATATGATCAGTTTATTATGACCTTTGCTCTGCCTGTGTAGTCTCAGGAGTGCTGTTTCTGGGTCTAAAGCTAAAATGGGCCTGATCACAAATGTTAATTTGATCTTGATTCTGTAGTATTATCAGTTTTCTCTTAAAACTGTAGTTGTTAAGTACAGAGTCTCTTGCAAATGGAAAATCACTTGAATGAGTGAGGAGACATTAGTTACCTAGTATTTAATGATACCATGTTCATTTTATAATTGTTCAGGTTTTGTGTGACACTTCCCAGGAAGGGCATAAGAATAGCCCTTAGTGAGAGTATTGCCTGAGTCCAGGGGTTTGAGTCTAGCCTGGGCAACCTGGTGAGACCTCATCTCTACAATAAATCAAAAAATTATCTGGGCATGGTGGCACGCACCTATGTTCCAGCTACTTGGAAGGCTGAGGCAGAAGGATCACCTTAGCCCAGCAGGTTGAGATTACGGTAGCTGTGAGCGTGCCACTGCACTCCAGTCTGGGTGACAGAGTGAGACTCCTACTCAAAAAAAAAGAAAAGAAAAAGAAAAGCCCTTAGAATAGCTGTTGGTAGCATAACTATATTGTTTTATGAATAATATATAAAAATAAATTTATTATAGCTTTATTTCATTTGCAGCCTAATTTTTTGAGTTGGAGTCTTACTCTGTCACCCAGGCTGGAGTGCATTAGCACACTTCATGGCTACCGCACCCTCAACCTACTGGACTCAGGCGATCCTTCTGCCTCAGCCTTCCAAGTAACTGGAACTGCTGGAACTACAGGCATACGCCACTATGCCTGGATAATTTTTTAAATTTATTGTAGAGACAAGGTCTCACCATGTTGCTCAGGCTGGTCCTGAACCCCTGAGCCCAGGCAATCCTCTCAACTCCTAAAGTGACTTTTTAGTTTTTAAAAGGAGGGCAGTTCTGACACATACTACAATATTGATGAACCTTGAAGACATTATGCCAAGTGAAATAAACCAGATACAAAAGGGAAAATATTGTATGATTTCACATATAAATGAAGTACATAGAGCAGACAAACTCAGAGAAGAAAAGGATATAATTGCCTGGGCCTGGGGGCAGGGGGTTACTGTTTAATGGATACAGAGTTTCCATTTCCATTTGGAGAGACGAATGGTGGTGATAACTGTACAACAACGAATGTGCTTAATGCCACTGAATTGTACACTTAAACATAATTAAAATGGTAAATTTGAAGTCTATTTTACCACAATAAAAAATAATTGTTGTAAAAATATTCTGATATGTCACTATATCTGAGTTGATTATTTGAACTTAATGAAATCCATTGGTTCAAATTCTTGTTAAATCTATTGCATCCAGAGGCAAAGAGACAAAAAATTGCAGACAAAAGCTTAGTTTCACAACAGTTCTCTCATGATGAATAGTAAATTTCATTAAGCCAGAATCCTTAAATGCTAGTGACATCCCTGCCTCTGAAACCAATATTTTATGGTACTAGTTCTGCTGTATAAACCCGTGTTCCTTTTAAGTGAAGTTTAAAAGACACATTTGAAATTTGTTTATACTCCTGAGGAAAAGTGGTTGCAACAGAACTAAGTTTACTAGAGTTTGTCATAGACGACAACAACAAAAACCAGGAAGCTGCATGGCATTGATCATTATTCAATTAATTTTTTCTCTTTCCAAAATTTGACCAAGAGAAGGTTTTCAATTTTTATAAGCTATTCTAGTTCAGAAGTTGGTTTTTTGTGTCTCACATTTCTTAGTTAACCTCAAAATGAATTGTTGTTTTGACTGTTTTAGATATGGAGACAAACTGGCTTGTTTTTGCATAGTTACTTAATTATTATTTTTTTTAATTTCAATAACTTTGGGGGGTTCAAATAGTTTTACTCGGGGCTTTAAGTATACCTATTATCCCCACCTGTGCACAATGTCGCGGATAGGGTTTTTTTTTTGATCCATCACCCCTGACCCCTCCCTCTTTGAGTCTCCAGGGTCCATTATACCATTCTCTGTATCTTTGTATATTCTTAGTTTAGCTCCCACTTACAAGTGAGAACATGGGGTGTTTGGTTTTCTGTTCCTGAGTTAGTTCACTTAAGATGATGCTCTCCAATTCTAACCAAGTTGCTGCAAACTACATTATTTCATTATTTTTGACAGCTGAATAGTATTCCGTGGTATATATCCACAGACTGGCTGATTGGCATTTGGGTTGATTCCACATCTTTGCAGTTGTAAATTGTATTGCAGTGCAAATGCACGTGCAATTGTCTTTTTTTGTGTGTGTGTTGGAGTCTCACTTTGTCGTCCAGACTGGAGTGCAGTGGCCGCTCCCGGCCACTGCAGCCTCGACCTGCTGTGCTCCGGCGATCCTTCCGTCTCAGCCTTCCAAGTAGCCGGAATTACAGACATGCACTACCACGCCTGGCTGATTTTTTGATTTATTGTAGAGATGAG